CAGTATAAGTAGTAGTCGACATGTGGTGCCTTCCTGCTGCACATGCACATGCGGCAAGTTGGCAACGACACATTACCTATCTGCACCGCACAGCGTGAGCTTAGAAAGGAATATTGCACACATAGTGCTATTTGTGTTCCGATATCGTTAAGGCGGTATACATGTACTAGTATCCTTATACATGTACCTGGTCACTCGATAGGCGATGCCGACTGTACTAATCTTATCCATATTACCCGATAGGCTATAGCACACTGCGTCAGATCACTATGCAACAAAACGAGAGCTTTGGAGCGAATATACACTGAAGCAAAGTAGGTTTCAACGGTACAGCACTAGTCACGATGAGGGGAGTTACGAGGATGGTTAGGCCGTGACACATAGATGATGATTGTTAATGATTCATGCACGGTGGAAAATTACCACCAATGGCGATGATATTCCTTTCACAACAATAACATCAGTAGGAGCAGTGACACAACCTTGCTGCTCCAAGTAGGATTTACAAGCGAGTGAAGGGAGAGCAGACTGGTCTAATAGCAGACCGGGTCTAAGCAAGGAAGTAATCGGCATCAGAGGTGAGCTTGCACATCAGAAAACAGATGATGATCACCAAACACAGAGAAGTTGGCTATGTGCATGTTTGTGTCACTGTGTGTGGATGTGTGTGTGTGTGTGTGTGTGTGTGTGTGCATGTGTGTTTGTGTGTATGCGTGCACATCTGTGTGTGAGAGAGAGGCAGACAGACAGATAGCATATGGTGGGAGGGATCAAGGTCTGACCTCATAGTTAAATGCTGACGGTGTGGAATAGCAACAGTGCGAAATCGGGCAGGGTGGTTAATGGCCCACACTGGAGCCGAGTAGGAGCGCCAGTGGTTGAGGGCTAGCACAGGAGTAGCAGCAGCTCCAGCCTAGGAAGATCAGCTTCTGGATGAAAATCTCCCGGACACAGTAGGTACCAAGCTTCACTAGCAGATTGCCGGCAGGGGTGCACGGCGAGCACCCGTACATCCCTCAAGCCATCAGAGCCGCAGTACTTGGACACGATCCAGGTGCTTACCCGCCAACAATGCTGAGAAGGTACTGGAGCCATACAGGAATGTATGAACTTATGATCGAGCATGACCACAGACTTGAAATACAGGGTCCGGCGTTGAATACTGAGACAGCGACGTCTCCTCGACAGAACACCACTCAGCCCCACCATTGCATTATTCTCGCTTTTTCATGATTTTTACAATTGTGTTAGAGCACACAGCACTCGATGCAACATTTACCAGTGACTAAATAACTCCGCGTCTCCGACCATAACTGCAGCGTTCCCGTGAGCCTGTTGGGTTTCCGTCAGCCTGTTGAGATTATCTTCATCTCGTCACATGTGAGCCTGTGTGTTTCATCCGTATCGTGGCGCAATTACGCAGACACGATTTCCAACTCAGGCCGGTTCCGTTGCTCGAAGGGTTGGCGGTAAGAATTGCTACGCCGTCTGTGGCTGCATGGGAACTTGGCGAGTCGTCGTCTTTCTCCATAAATCCTGATCGTCACGCGAACAACAGCCACTATTGCCTAAAAACTACGACACAACAGTATCAAGCTCGCCCCAGCAGAAGGACACGAATGACGAGCGCTAAGACGGAGAAAGAGAGACAGGGTTAGCGAGAGCTGCCTAGTGCAGGTACGCTGTCATCTCCTGAAGTGGTGGGCGAAGCAGCGAAGTGAAACGAAGGAAGGCATACGGAGGCACCAAAACCACATACTAAGTGCCATTTAGGGTTGACAGCTGTCAGCTGACAGCCTCAAAAATTTGAAAATCTGCTCAAAAAACTCTCGATCAGAACTCTGCGCACTCTCAAATGGAGCGCACAGTAAAAAACTCGGCGACGAAGAACGCTTCGTATCGACGCCCTGGACTGAATTCGGCACGTCCAACAAACGGAATAGTGTTCTCTGATATATTCTCTACGTGCTGGGTATGGTAGCGTTTAGTTGGAAGCTCAGTGCATCACCACTTTCGATTTTGAGACTTGGCCGATGGACTACAAGTTACGCTATACTGTCCACTAACACCACCAGTGACTAAACAATCAGCTCATGCAATAACATTGCACGATACTGACCGACAGTGCTGACGTTCTACAACTAACTGGCTAACAGCTCTAGCACATCTTGGATGCGCACTCCAACAGCGTTCCAACTTGGAAGGTTCTAAGTTATAGAAATAACATAAGGAGGGGAAGATGAGCGCAAGCAAGATAAGCACGAGCTGAAGGTCTCAGCTGTGAAGGACGTTGGCGGATGTTCATGCATGTCGATGACGATACGTAGACTGGCAAGACCATTGGACAATACGGTCAAACCAAGATTGAAGAACGCAAAGCAACATTCCACACAACTTGTGTGGCTCAAAAGATGCGAAGATCAATAAAAAGGGAACCTATGCGAACAAGAATCATGAAAAACCGAACGCCTCAGTAAAACAGCAGTGTACTTCGACTATGACAATTTAGATGGACAATAAGCAGCGGTAACAAGCAGCAGTTTCACACGACGATCGTTTCGCCGTATGGATAAAGACGGCTCATCAGGTGTGCAGGAATGGACTCAGATGGAGAGCCAAGGTTTAATTTGTACAAAAGAGAAAGACCAAGGAACTACAGGTTACGCTACAATGTCCACTAACGCCACCAGTTACTAAACAATCAGCTCGTGCGATAACATTGCACCACACTGACCGACGGTACTGACGTTCTACAACTAACTGGCTAACAAACAGCTCTAGCACATCTTGGATGCGGACTCAAACAGCCTTCCAACTTGGAAGGTTCTAAGTGATAGAAATAACATAAGGAGGGGAAGGTGAGCGCAACCAAGATAAGCACGAGCTGAAAGTCTCAGCTGTTCATGCATGTCGATGACGATACTGGCAAGACCATTGGGCAATACGGTCAAACCACGATTCAACAACGGAAAGCAACATTCCACACAACTTGTGTGGCTCAAAAGATGCACCTTCCCTTCCTTATGTTATTTCTATCTTAGAACCTTCCAAGTTGGAAGGCTGTTGGAGTGCGCATCCAAGATGTGCTAGAGCTGTTAGCCAGTTAGTTGTAGAACGTCAGCACCGTCGGTCAGTTTCGTGCAATGTTATTGCATGAGCTGATTGTTTAGTAACTGGTGGTGTTAGTGGACAGTATAGCGTGACTTGTAGTTCCTTGGCCTTTCTCTTTCAGCAAATATATTGTGCTTGACCGCATTCCTGCCGAGCCACCGTGCTCACAGCAGAGACTTGTGTGTCATTGTCGTGAAAGTGAACAACAAAGACGTATGTAAATAATGGTACAAGGCTTGTACGGTAATCCTGTGGTATTATGAAGGTGTAGCAAGACGAACTTCGCGTTCGGTTTCGCACGCCTGCCACTCCAAGGAAAGTTGAACTCAGCGACGGAATTCTCCTTATGAGAAGTATTAGCAAACACGACAGTACAGCGTAGTAAATTTATGACTTGTCCTGACACGAATCCGCGATTGGTGTTTCAACTACTTTTCCGAACGAAAAATGCGTAAGTTCGCGAACCGAAAAATGTTCCCGAACTCGAATTCAAAATTCGTGATGCTACAGTAGGCATCATGGATTTCTAACATTAAAAGTGGGACGGGTCTTCGCTTGCATGTCTCTCTCATGCAGCACACGATAGAGCTGGATTCAGAGACATCATTCACAATTCTCTCGCTGATTAATGCCTCTACGATCACCTTGTGATTATGAGTTATACATACATACATACATGTACATACACTAATATGCTAAACCTCCACAATAGCACTGCTGTCTAGATGGTGGGAAGGGATCATATGCCTATTGATCATAGCACTGGCAAATACAACTCCAGCACAAACCGGTGCCACTACCATGACTACAGCACTACACGGTAACCATGGTCACTAGCATTGACCCAATTGTTAACCCCATGTCCTCGCTGGATGAAGACAGCTGTCATGTGCAATGATTGCCAATGAAAAACCTCATGAGGTTTCAGCGAAGCTAACCGGTCGTGACTGTCTGATCTACCGCTGTTTTTGTTGTTGATTCTATTTTTATTATACATGTACTTGAAGCTACGCGCGTAAAACAAGAAGGAAGGAGGAAATGACAAGAACAACAGACTAACAAGACCTTGACTGAATGGGATTGCAATGCAATGCAGTGGCGGTGATGGGGTGCTGAAGGCTCTGCTAACACTAAGTAAAGTAAGAGGCTGAGAGGCTGAGAGGAGAAGAGAGGTACATGTCCATGCACAAATCTCTGGTAGCAAGTGAGGAATGTGATCATTCCCTGTGACGTTTAAAACAGATTTAAAAAATATCTCTGACACTTCACCTCCACATGACGATTGTAATGTATCCAAGCTGCTCGCTGCCCTGAGACGACCTCGTAGCATGTTTTCTCCGCCAAGTTATCATTGTTGAGGCGGCATTTTTTTCTCTGATGGAAATCTCCGCAAAATTGATCAAGAAATTTCTACATAATAATTATGTAGAAATTTCTTGATCAATTTTCATAATTATTATGAAACCAACATAATTATTATGAAAGTTGGTTGCTCCCCACACCACGTACCGGAGAGCGCGCTTCTCCGCCGACTTGACTTGACTATCCCCGATGTCGCTACCACTACCTCGTACATTTCTACATTAGAAAGTAGTTTACACTTCGCTTATTTGTCAATTTCGAACGTGAGATCTCACGCCCAACGTGGTGGCGCTTCTCACGTTGCAACGGGACAGAGTTTTTCTGACGTTCGAAATGATTACACAAGAAATATGAAGCGTTAACTCTCTATTGTGTGCCATGCTTGCCTGACACCAACGGCACTGCACAATAATGATATTATTGTATTATAACTGTTGCTATCAACATCAGCACGTGACCAAACTCACACCTGAACATGCACACATCTTATCTTCTTGGGAACTTTCTTCAGTTGAAAAATAGATAAATATTCTTACTGTTACTGGCCTTTGCATGTATAATAATTATACTCAGGATAAACCTGTAGGGGGGGGGGGGGGCACAAACACCACCAGCACTAAGGGAGGCAATATTGAGATATGCGGCTACCTAGAATGTTTCCTAACAACGTGCCCAATTAAGAGGTCCTAGGTAAACAAGGAGAGAGAGAGAGAGAGAGAGAGAGAGAGAGAGAGAGAGAGAGTGAGTGAGTGAGAGAGAGAGTGAGTGAGTGAGTGAGTGAGTGAGTGAGAGAAAGAGAGAGAGAGAGAGTGAGTGAGAAAGAGAGAGAGACATTTGGAGATAGAGAAAGAGAGACTAAAAGTAGAATGTTCTGTGCTCGACACAGCTATAGTCACAGTCATGGGCCAAAGTAAGTAAGAAAGAGAAAGAGAAAGGGCTAAGCATCAAGTTGGTCTCAACTCAACCGCACAGGGCATGTCAATCGCAATATCAACACAAAGGCAAAGTGACATCAGGCCGTTTGTTCAGTCTGACAGACAATTCTCAAGTGGCTGTTCGCCATTATCAGCGATAGCTATCAATGGAAAAGAGACAGTACAGGCTTTAGGCAGGTAGGGTTTGCTGTTCAGGAGTTAGATAGGAGAAGGCGAAGAGTTACGTTGCCCCAGCAGTGTCATGGTCTCAAACGCAGAGCTTCTCTCTCGACACACAAACACACACACACACACAATCCTGTTCTTGCCAGGCTCAACCACCGGGCTGCTTTGCTGGCTGCACAGACACACGCAGCTCGTGGAACACGCCGCTCGTAAGCAAGAAGATGGTGGATGCGTGGTGACTGCTCCACGCTTCCTCCGGACATATAAAGTTACTGGCACTCGGGCAATGTGGCCACACTTCCTCTTCGACATACACTGGCACTCGGGCAATGTGGCCACACTTCCTCTTCGACGTGCACTGGCACTCGGGCCGTGTGACCGCACTTCCTCTTCGACGTGCACTGGCACTCGGGCCGTGTGGCCGCACTTCCTCCCGACATACATGTATACTGGCGCTCGGGCCCCAGCGTGGTCATGTGATCATGCGGCCAAACTCCACTCAGGCCATGTGGGTGGTCAGGGCAAGGACTGTGCAAGCCGCCATACTTACAGTTTCTAATCGTATCAGCGCATGGCGTTGTGCACCTGCAGTAGAATGTTCTTGGCCACCAGAAAGTCTGTAATCGGACAAGAGCAGTACACCAGGGCACAACTACTGTAAAAGCAGAAGTTTTCGGTGGCGTAATATTTTCGGTGTTCTCCTTTTCGGTAAAACCGTTCTCCAGGTACGTGTACTAGTACTGGTACCGAAATTTTCGGTGCGTTTTATTCTAGGTAAAAATTGTCGGCACCGAAGTTACCTAAAATAAAACACCACGGAAAATTTCTTCTTCCGGTTGGAATTGGTCGTAACTTAAAGTGTCATGCCGCAATGGCAATCATCAGACAACTGACAATAGAACCTGAGACTAATCGACAATTTTCCGTTCATGCTCGAGTCCAGCACTCAAGCATACAGAAATCCAGTACTACAGCACAGCCCTGCTCAATGAAATCCAGCCGCGTCACTCAAGTACGCGCCGGGCGTTGCACAGCCGTAGACCTGCGACCACCGGACTGCGAAATAGTGCACGGCGCAAACTTGAGTGACGACGCGACTGGATTTCATTGAGGAGCACTGTGGTACCAAAGCAACACTTTTTAAAAGCATATAGAAATCAAAACACTGTTCTCGCCACGCTTTCAAGCAGCTACCGTGGTGGTGGGTTCCCGTTCTATTGTGGTTTAAAAAGTAATAGAGTGGAGGTGACTTAGTAGCATACTGGGCATACAGTACATACATAGCTGCTCAATGAAATCCAGTTGCGTCCAAATAATTTAGTCTGTACAGATCGGATCAATCCGCTCGTGTATCCGAAATAAATAAATGAATTAAATTTCACGGTTCGCGTGAGACTCGGCTGGAAGCCGAGTTTTCCGCATCCGCCGTGGGAACGCCACCACCCTCTAGGCTCAAGGTGCAGATGCAGCTCCTAAGCGGTGGGAGGTGAGTAGATCAGACCCACCACCAAGTGGTCAAAGACTGAAATCCCATTAGCTGCATCCATGTGTACCCGAAATAACCCTAGCGTAAGTTTACAAATTTTCGGTCCATTCAAATTCCGGCCTCCCAGGGCTAAAACCCATTTCGGCTGAACCAAATTTTCAGCCTGTACTGCTGCCGCCTGTATACGCACGCTGTCACATTTTCGGCCGTAACAAATATTCGGCCAAACGTGACCAGGCCAGGCCGAAAATAGCCGAAAATAGCCGAAAATGAAAATGCGCCGAAAAATGTGTTGACTCACTCTGCACTTCCGATCAAACTGAGACAACATCGAACAAAGAGAACTGAGCGGATTTAGAGATTTTCATTCCTTACATGACACATGTGATCGTAGCCCAGCCTTTAACCCGGTTTCCCTCCGCGCCGTCCGCGGGCATAATCAGAACGTCATGACCGATTGACGGCACTTGGGAGTAATTTGATCGTTCGGCCTCTGACCATTCCTATTATGTTGCTTGGTGCTGTAAGAAATCAAATCAAGCACGTCCTGTCTGTCATGATGGCTGAATCTTGCCCTTGCCTGAAGGATTCAGCAATCGCGACCTCCAGAGCGTACTTGATTGCATAACGTCAGTGCGCCACAATTCTTACATTTTTTTTCAATCAGATATCGGTGTCCATTTCGAAGCCACGGAAGCTGAGGACGCCGTTGTCTTCACGCGCTTTTTCTGATCTTTCGGGTCGCTGCGCCGGAGTACAAAGTCAAACTGTGCCGTTGTGGTGTTCAAAGCATAGAAGACGTTGGTATCCGTAGGTATTCGCATCTCTTCTGTGTGGGGTATACACACACACACACACACACACACACACACACACACACACACACACACAAACACACACACGTGCACACATGCAGTCCAGTCAATCCGTGCATCAATGGTTCACACATGAAGTCAGACATTTTCGCCTCCAGCTCCAGTCAACCTCCACATCAATGGGTCAAGCACATGATATCAGTCAGTTTGGTTCCACAGTCGACAAGTTACATACAGCTTATGCACAAGTATGCTCCCAGTACAAAGACGTGAAACAAAACTTGACTGAAATATATTCCTAAGTATGAGCACGCTTTCAGCACCTGTAATTCACCCCAAAAAAGGTCGGTGCGGCTAACACAAGAGTGCTGCGCAATGAAATCCAGTCACGTCACTCAAGTTTGCGCCCTGCACCATTTCGCAGACCAGTGTTCGCAGGTGTGGGGCTAAGCAACGCCCGGCGAGTACTTGAGTGACGCGACTGGATTTCAATAGAGACCAGTAGCAAACCGTCGGGAGCGACGATTGGGACAAACTGGGAACGAGGCCGACGCGCGGGAAACTCGAATCGTTTCGTGAGCACGATTGGAGCAGCCCCAACGGGTGATCACGAAATGATAACGATTCCGGTTGATGTATGGAATCACAGCCCGCCGCGTGCAGCGCGAACGGCTGTGATGAAGGCTGATCGAACACGAGTACGAGTGTTTTGATTACATTTCTGACATGCACCCACGCTTGAAACTCATATCGAGCTTGTAAATACTTCGCGAAGGGCTGTGATTGGCTGATAGAACATGTACACGACTGTTTTGATTGGATTTCTGACATGAACACGCACTTCGATCTTCCTATCGCGAATCGCGCTTGAAAGCACGACTCAACCACCTTCTCGAGTAAAATAATGCGATTGGTCATCTCCGTGCCAACAGTCTTGTGACATGTCAGAAGCACGCATCACGTGCCTGAATGGTTCAACGCACGGCTTCGTGCCGTGCATGCGTTGACGATTGTAAATCGGAGCTGCCCAATCGTTTGACCGTCTGCGTGACAGTTTGCTAATGGTCTCTTTTGAGCAGCACTACACAATGGTCATACGAACAGTGATAAACATGGTAGGTATCTGTATTTCGTGACAAACAAATCTGGATGCGACTTGTACTCCAGTGCTGCTTATACTCCAGTGATGCCTATAGAATGGTCTCACATCTATCACATGACCATACAGGGGACAGCCATGTTGGTTCTAACTCCACACAACCTCGGCATCTTGATCGATGAACGAATGGCCTGGCAACCGCAAGTTGACCGGTGCATCTCACGCACTGCTAGGAAGATCGGTAGTCTGTGGCGGGCGCGACGCTGCCTCACTCTAGCTAGTCGAAGCAAGTACTTCCTATCTGTCATCATGCCGGATTTGATATATGGATCGTCAGCATATGGCTCTGGCTTGACCCACAACCAGCTAAACCGCTTGCAGGTGGCCCAAAACCGCGCGGCAAGGGCGGTGTTCGGACGACCACGATTTACCAGGGCCAGTGACCTCTTGGAGAGGCTCTCTGTTTATCGCGTGGACGAGGTATATCGCCAGGAACTGCTCGTGCTGGTATGGCGGTGCATTCATAACCGTGCCAGTCCTGCTCCGCATGCACTGTTTGCTCGCAACTGCGGAGCAACTCGCCTTCAGCGCAGTCTGGGCCTGCAACAACCAATAGCCAGAAGCCGAGCAGGCCAATGTCGACCAGCATCTCGCGGTCGCCTGTTATGGAACCATGTACCTGACACGGTGCGAGCCATGGGCAACATCCCAGCATTCCGCCGAGCTGCCATTCCCTACACGTTGTAGACTGCTACGCAGTTGGTCATACCATGGTATTCAGTACCCACGAACTTTGCAAAGCCGATAATATGATAATGTACCGTGGTGCATGCACCGATGGTACCACCACTTCGTAGACTGCCTCCCGTTCATTTTTGTGCTCCTGTCTTTATTCTCGTCAGCTGTGTACTTCAGCAGTTCAATTCTGTGCTCCAGTCCTCTTTATTCTCGTGAGATGTGTACTTGTTTTGCAGTTTGTTTGGTTTATTTGAATTCGCACAGTAACCGTGTACTTCAGCTATTCTCTCCTCCCTCTTCTGAATTTTACTCCCCGCTGGCCTTCTCTCCTCCCATCCCCTTACATTGTATTGGGCCTCCGCAGCTTACCCCCCCCCCCCCCCCCCACCACCACCACCACCCGAAGCACACACTACATTGTCACATAGCACAACTCAACCATTCGCTACCCTGTTATTGAGCACTCCTGCTCGTTTGGTCTCGCGAATCCAAATAAAATCAATCAATCAATCATCATCAATCAACCCTTGCATCTATGGGTCATGTGATGTCGGCCATGTTGGTTCCACAGTCCACATGACATGATCACTTTCGACAGCAAATTTCGTCACATGACCAAGATGTGAAACCATTCTATACTCCAGTGCGGCTTATACAATGTACTCTAGAAAATAATGGACTCGGATATTAATTCATACAAAATAAAAAGGACCAAGGAACTACAAGTTACGCTATAATGTCCACTAACACCACCAGTTACTAAACAATCAGCTCATGCGGTAACATTGCACAACACTGACCGACGGTACTGACGTTCTACAACTAACTGGCTGTCGCATGAGCTGATTGTTTAGTAACTGGTGGTGTTAGTGGACATTGTAGCGTAACTTGTAGTTCCTTGGCCAATTTTCTTTCTAAAAATAAGGTGTAGGACCAGATATTTTACCGTCAATAAAAGTTAACGATCTCCGGATTTGTGTGGGTTATCCGGAGGTGAAATTCTAACGAATTCTGTCTCAAAACCGGCAAATGACTGTACATGCACAACTCGTTGTACATAACGACTTCAAATGTTAACAAATTGTTTAAATTCGTTAGAATTAAATGTTCGTTAACATTACTGGTCTTAGAGTAGTGTTTGTTGTGAGTACTCACTGCCTGGACCAGTGACTTGATACAGGGTGAAAGCATCCACCTGCTCCTCTATCAGATTTTTCCGCAGTACACGATCGATGATGGCACGGCCGCGGTCATCGTTGCGCAACTGTGTGACAAATAGACATGAAAGAACGCACATGCGTGCACACACCCACACATTCACACACACACACACACACACACACGAACACATCAAAGAGGATCCTGTTGACTGAATGCACAGCTAGTACCAATTAGACTAGCGGCTCATCATCGCCAAGCCCCATTCATCTACAAACTGACATACCATATTTTACCGGTTGTAAGTCGATCCCGGTTATAGGTCGAGCCCCGTATCCGGAGGTCTCAATTCTCCTTTTCAAAGTTATCACCCAACAAAGCACTACTAACTACTCTCTGCTACTAACACATCAACAAATCATGTAAACATTCATTATTGCAGGGTATAACGTCCCAATCCTTGAAAAAGGCCAATAAACCGGCAAAATCGTGTACATTATTATGGTGCACTCGTGCATGCAGTGCAGGCCATTTTTTAACCCATTCAGCGCTGAAGACGTATATATACGTCATTGAAAACGACGCCCAGGCACGGAGGACGTATATATACGTCTTTTTTCAGTGCGGGCGTGTTGACTCGTAGATCGCTCCGCGATCGGTTCCCATGTCCCTCAGCGCCTGGGGAGTCCCCAGAGAGAGTCGCATTAGTCACCAGCTAAAAAAACCGACTACAAAGTGTTTACGTCGCGCTCCGGGGTACGAACATTTGTAAGGTGAATTTTTGAATTTGGAGGTAATGTCATCCCGGAGAGGCGAGCTCCTAAGCGTGAACGAAGTGCTAGACGCTGTTTTCCTGGACGATAACAGCGATGAGGAGCCCGGCATCGATAGCGACTGGGACGCTGAGCCTGGCACTGCTGAGGAAGTGGTCGAAATTGCTGAACCCGATGACGGCGACGATATCAATATGCCCATCCCTGAGAATCCAGCTGAGAACGTAGCTGAAGTTCCAGGTGAGAGCGTCTTAGTGAGCCAAGAGGATAAGAATGAGCCGGTCGTTGTTGCAGAAGTGTCTGCCAGGTCACACAAACCAGCAGTGGAGCAGCTTCCTCCAGGAGATACTGGTCAAGAAGGTACTCTAATTTCAGAAATTTTCGGGGCTCAATATTTTCGGTATGAGGGCAACAAGCTAGGTTAGGTGAACAGAAATTTTCGGTACAGAGAAGCAGTTCCCTATTGGATTGTGTGTGTTAGTGTTTGTTCGGTGTATTGAAATTTTAGGTATGAAACAGACGCACCGAAAGTACCGAAAATAAAAGTACACCGAAAATTTGTGAAATTACAGTTATCGCCCATCTCCCGAGCCACACACATATCCAGGCACAGTACTGTCTGGGGTTTGGGCGCTTGTATTTGAACGCCTGCCACAACCGTGTGACAGGCGAATAGACATCATTGTCAAATGTGCATATCACGAGGTAATTGCTGCTCAAGAAAAAAAAAAAAAACCTCAAAGGGCGCAAGGGCAAAGAGTTGCTGCTGTACCAACAAGCAGGAGACAAGAGTGCCCTCAACCTCCTTGGTCCCGCGTGAGATCGCCCCATGCTGAAAGGGGCAGCCAGGGCTGTGCGTACAGCCCCGCCGGTTGCTGCGCCGCCTCGGCCGCGTGGCCGGCTTGCTCGGTCCACGGCGATAACTACGGTTTGCCCTACTGCAAACCTACATTAATTACTTTTTTTCAATTACGTCTGGTGAATATTTTGAATTTTTTGAATTTTGAATTTGTAAAAAACCCAAATGTGGGTGCTTGCAGCGATCATACCAACCTGTAGATAACAAACTGGCAGCCCAACGTGAACTACATGTTACCTGTTCATTGCGCGAAATCGCGCATCTATGAGCGACATCCACATAAACTGCTGGGACCATGGTTGTGTACTCGAATCTCATTCTGAGCACCCTTTTTTCTTCCTTTTTTCAGCCGTTTTTTGCAAAAAGTCCTCGAGCTCGATTTTTTTGGATCGATCGTTCTTCAAGGAAAGACGAGTGGACAATCGATCAACAGGGCCGAGGACGAATGCGTCTGGTTGGAGTTCTTGCGTGGCACAGGATGACCAGACACACATATAGATACATTGCGACGATCTAATCTGCACAGTGTTTCCTAATACCGCACGCACGACGGTAAGTACAATTCATGTGATTTCAAATTGTTTGTGATCTACAACGTCGCGAGCAGGACGGAAATACAGCAACAGCACGACAACCGTTATACCAGGCAGTAACCAACAGTCACCTCCGTCACATTCTCCAGATCAGAAGGCAAGTGAGGCAGTGAACATGAAGAAATAAAGTATGAAAGAATGAAAAGTGAATAATTCAAAAATCTCAGAAACGTTGAACGTAAAAAAACACTGAGAACAAGAAAAGTGACTTACTTCGATGGCAAAAGACAAAGCGAATGTTCCTCGTATGGACCTGGCTCTTGCGGAATCAGCCACACTGTGGAACCATGTGTTTGATTCCACAAGGGATGGCTACCTGCTCCTCACCAACCAGCCTCCACGACGGTGGTAAAGTCGCCAAAAATACGAAAGTTGAACATTTTGTGCATGCATGCAATAGAAAATTTGTGCTGAGTATGTCGAGTGGCCATTCGCACAGGACAAAGCCGTTGCGCAAGCTGTGACCCTGAAATTTCGTCCATTGGTAGCGAAGGTAACCCTGAGCTGGAAAGTGTAAGGGATGGCGTGCTACACTCCCCCGCATACGCTTGACAGCACGATTTGAGGCGTGGAGTAGTAATATACCAGTATCTTACTACCCCCTGATACCTGATGCATGGACGTCGTCATCTTCATCCCGCAGATCGAAAATGTACAGGTGTCGCGTGATTTCGCGCAATGTCTTTGACTGAACACTTAGTTGTCATAATGATCATATGTTGCACCGTAATTGCACATTCTGATTCTTGAGATTTTCACTTTGTTTTCAAAACAATTTCGACCATGTGAGAACCAACACAATTATGATTATAATTATGTACATAACAAGCAATGATACACTACACAATACCATGCAGTACAAAATATCAAGCGTACATGGGATTCTCTACTCTGTTTACTCTACTGGCTTGTGTAGGGTTGTGGCGTATGGATGAAAACATTCCCGTCATCCCAGAATTTACTGCCCACGCCGGCATGAACGTCAACGTGCCGCCAGAGCCAACGCCGTATGATTTTGTGAAGCTGTTCTTCACTCCGGAACTATGGCAGCTGCTGGTGACTGAGACAAAACAGATATGCAGAGCAGTACCTGGCACAATTTGGTGCAGATCTAACGCGACACAGTCGACTGAAGAAGTGGGTGCCCGTCACTGTGCCAGAGATGAAAGTCTTTCTCAGCCTCTATCTGCTGATGGGCATAGTGGTCAAGCCGGAGCTAGATATGTATTGGAGCACTGCTGCACTGCTGAGTACGCCTATCTTTGGCTCATCTATGCCACGAGACCGTTGGTGTGCAATACTATCTTTCCTGCATTTTGCCGACAATGCGACAGCTGATCCACAGGACAAGCTTGCAAAGCTACGCCCGTTGATCAACATGACGTGTGGTCCGTTCCGAACAGTCTATACACCAGGGCGCCATGTGTCTATCGACGAGGAGCTAGTGGCTTGGCGTGGCCGTTTGCAATTTCGCCAGTATATTCCATCCAACCGGGCCAGGTTTGGTGTGAAAGTATTCGCGCTCTGCGAGTCAAGCGGATATATGTGCGACTACATTATCTACGTCGGCAAGGACACAACATTTGATGACGACATGGTGCGTACCCTGGGAAAGTCCGGTGCCGTCATAGGCAAGCTGATGGAGCCTCTGCAAAACAAGGGTTATCAGTTGTACATTGACAACTGGTATACCAGCATTGAATTGGCTACCTGCCTTGCGCAGCATGGCACCACGATGTGCGGCACAATCCGCAAAAACCGACGCAGCCTGCCAAAGCGCGTCACAAACTACCGTGGTCTCTCACGAGAAGAGTTTGTGTTTCGCTCGTGGAATGGAATCCTATTCCTGCGACTGTCCGACACCAAGGAAGTGCATTTCCTGTCTACCATCCATACGACTAGTATCATGGACACCAGAAAGCGTGACGTCCATCGCCTCCCGGTAAAGAAGCTGGCGCTGGTTCACGACTATAACCAGTATATGGGCGGCGTCGACAGAAACGACGAGATGATGAGCTTCTATACAGCGGCGCGAAAGTCCCGGAATTGGTAAAATAAGCTTGCCATCCATCTGCTAGAAGAGTGTCTTCTGAATGCTTTCGTGTTGTTCCGGAAATACAGCGGTCAATCGAAGAAGCACTTCGACTTCATCACGATCGCATTGAACGCCATGCTGCAGGATGGAAGGAGATCTGGTGCTGCTGCTGCCTCAGTTGCTCCAGCCACACCTGTAGCACGCTCTGTTGCAGCGAGTGGTCATGTGCCCTGCAGTATACCGAGCACTCCACAGAAGATGAAACCACAGAGGAAGTGTCGCTACTGTTCGCGGAACAACATCAGGAAGCATGGCCTGTAGCGCTAAATGGGTTAAAGATACTGATAGTTCCTGGCTATAAGTCGAATCCCGGTTGTAAGTCGATCCCCACCCTTTCTCTTTCTATTCTTAGTCGTAAAAGGTCGACTTACAACCGGCAAAATACGGTAGCTGAAGCAACACTCAACACTCCATACTTCACTTACCAGAAAGCTCTTGTATGCGCCTTCGTGACGGTCACTTTCCAAACGCACTCTGATTATGTAGGCGTCTTTGAACCAGTCGTCCCACGCAGGTGTATCTCTTGAGCCAGTTGATGATGCCGACGACAGACCACCAGGGGATTTCCCCGGTGCTGATGTTGCCAACTTACTAGCGAGGTCACCGTTAGAGCCACCACTAGAGCCACCGGATGCAGTGCTGCCGATGCTGAGGTTCGACGTGCGGTTCGGATCGCCGCGGAAGCTGCTTCGGAACAGGCGGTTGTTGATTCCGGTCACAGGTATGCCGCCACTACTAAACGCAGCCTGCTGATGAACGGAACAGAGACACATGAGAACGCACACACAAGTACATCAGTGGATGGTCCGCCATTGGAGGGTGCACGGGAAAAATATTCTTGAAGAAGTTTGCTCTTACACCACAGGACTGCCGGCAGCAGTTTTTGATTGGTCCGGTAGTGTTCCGGCATTTCATGCTTTGTGTATCGTACAGCGGTGTATCGTACACATGCCCTCCACAGTCGTAAACACCGTCACGTGTTGGTGGCCAAAACTTGTTGCAGTTGGTCCGGTGATAACCTGACCAACCGGACCGGTTCCGGTGGGCCTCCACCAGTAGTAGGTTTGCAACTGGACAGATACACAGCTATACAACTACAGCTAGCTACAGTCAACTTTGCGTATAACGACACTCGGCGGGGCATCAGAAAAGTGTCCTTATTCGCGAAGTGTCGTAATACCCGAAGTCTCATTGTATGTACTACTATTACAGTTAGATGGGACTTTGCTCTGGGCATGGAAATTCTGTCGTTAATCGCGAATTGTCGTTATATCCGCAGTCGTTATTAGCCAAGTTGACTGTACAAGTACAAGGAGACTTGACACACTGGAACTTGATTCTGGCTCCAGAACACCAGGCACTGAACTACGATCCCTTGGCCATTTGGCTCAAACATGCACATACTGGGCGAAGGTTCAAAAGGTACAGACTGCATACACATGCCCCGTGTACCTTCACGAGTTACAGGCTACGGGCCCATACGTACACCCACACCCACACATATGCATGCATGCACACACATACACGCACGCACGCACGCACACAAACACAAACACACACACACACACACACACACACACACAACACACACACACACACACACACACACATAAACACACACACATGAACGCCATCGTAAGTACACATGGCATGGACTTAGCGCAATGTGAGGCCCAAAATAACTGGCCGCCAAAAGTAGACGTGCAATATTTTGCCTTCAAATTCCCAGTGTATGAAGTTAACAAGCAAAGGAGAATGATAGTAATCTACTTACATCAGCATCACTCTTGTTCGTCAATCGCACAGCTGGGTCCTCCTTCTTCTTGGACTTGCTAGAGATGTTGATAGTTTTCCTACACAAGGAGGTTATCATGTTCAATCAAAATGCCATACCGTGCATGCATGCACCCAGGCAGACAGACAGACAGACAGTGGGACGGGCGGATAAGCAGAAGGTCAGACAAACGGATGGATGGGCAGATAGACAGATAGAAGCACTACTTACACACGTGCGCGCACGTGCGAGCACGCGTGCACACACACACGCACACACACGGACACGCACACACGGACACGCACACACACACACACACACACACGCACACACACACACACACACTCACGCACACACACCCACACACCCACACGTTATGACACAATCATCCTATCAGGAGATGCTACACAGCTCAGCATGGGCTATATGACACCACAAAACACTCTGCAGTCAATATCTCATGCTGTGCGCGCGTATGATGATACTACATGATGGATACACTCAGATCATTATACAGTACTGATCAATGAAATCCAGTCACAACCTGCAAGTACGTGCCGGGCTTTGTGCAGGCCTAGACCTGCGAACGCTGGGCTGTGAAAAGGTGAAAGGCGCAAACTTGAGTGCCACGACTGGATTTCATTGAGCAGGACTGCACATGATGGTTACACTCAAATAAGTATACTTGACAGGCTTTGAGCGGACATGAAATGAGGCACGCTACATGCACGTACTTGAATCTGGATTTCCATGAGCTGGACGGAAGGCCAGGCTTGGAGAAGCGACTCTCGGCTTGATCAGGCTCCATCACCATACTGGTCTGGTAACTGTACAAGCAGCAGCAGCAGCAGCACCAGCAGCAGTAGCAGCGGCACATGATCCAGGTGAACACACTTACATACACTGGCAGTGTAGTGAAGTTAAACATGCTAGAAACGATTGCCAATACAATAGAATCAAGGAGAATCAAGTTCTTAGGGTGTGGAGCGGGTGGTGAGACAGATTGTAGAGAGGGCAGTGATGGGGGGGGGGGGGGGAGGGGTTGCAGAGAGAGAGCAGTGATGGGGGGGGGGGGAGGGAGGGGTTGCAGAGAGAGAGAGAGAGAGAGCAGTGATGGGGGGGGGGGGGGGTGCGGAGAGCAGTGATGGGGGGGGGGGGGGTTGCAGAGAGGGCAGTGATGGAGGGGGGAGGGGGCTGCAGAATGGGCAGTGATGGGGGGGGGGGAGGATTGTAGAGAGGGCAGTGATGGAGGGGGAGGGGTTGCAGGGAGGGCAGTGATGGGGGGGGGGGGGGGGGAGGGGTTGTAAAGAGGGCAGTGATGGGGACTGTGGACAGGACGACAAGGGAGATTGTTGTGCACAGAGTTGCGAGAGGGCGGGGGGGGGGGGGGGGGGGGGGGGTTGTGGACAGGGTGGTGATATGGGGTGATTGTGGACAGGGCACTGAGGGGGATTGTGAAAAGGGCTGTGAGGGGGTGGGGGAGGGGGGCATTGATGACACGGCCAGTGACGGGGGGGGGGGGGGGGGGGCAGGGTGGTGAGACTCCACTCATATTTAGTGTAGACTCTGAAATACCATTTACCAAAGCAGGGAGTATGGGACTACCAATACTGTCCTTTACTCATATCAACTACCTACCATTGCTCCTCGGTGAGAACCTCGGACTGCAGCATCCACGACTGGATCATATTGTCATTCTCAATCTCGTACTTGCACGCCTTCTGGAACAGCATCAGCTGAGCGAGGAGCTCAAACTCCTTGCGACGCTTCTGGAAGTTGATGAACCCCTCCTGTGACAGAAAAACGGACGGGAAGCAGCATGGGAATTTCAGAACGGCTTCTACGTGAAGTAGGGTGTAACGATGGTACAAGGCAGGGTTAACTTGTAGTTGTTTTACGACAGGAACGGCTGCCGTTGGACCAAGGTGATTAATCATTCGGCCCAAGACGATGCCTGTATTACAGTGGAAAGCTGAGTAACCTTTAGGCTCCCAGTCACTTTCATCAGCTAGCTGTTCTGAAGGTGCTGGGCAGTGTGTGCCGTGACCAATCCAAACATTTTCAGTTTTTTTCAGTGCCACACAATTTCCAACTGTTTATGGATGATATTGACAGTGCAACTTTTTTGGTTGTAATTTCAGGCATACTTTATCCCCAAAGTTCACTTCATTTTAGATCATGATCCCTTTCCTCGCGGTGAGAACAATAGTGACCAATCGTGGCTACTCGGTCGATTCACCACAGACCAATTCGGGCACTCGCCCAATTCGGCCGGCTTGGTGTGAGTTGGCTTCTAACGTGTGGGCAGCAGCAGCAACATCAGCACCACAAGCAGCACCACCAGCAGCACCAGCAGCACCACCACCAACACCAACACTAGCACCACTAGCACCACCAGCAACACCAGCAGCACCACCAGCACCACCACCACCAACACCACTAGCACCACCACCACTGGCACGACCAGCAACACCAACAACACCAACACCAGCAACACCAGCGCCAATGACAATAACAGCGACAATGGCTGCGGCGACTCCGGCGACGACAACAACAATGACGTAAGACGATGACGACGACGACGGCGGCGGCGACGACGACGACGACGACGACGACGACGAAGACGACGACGACGACGACAACAACAACAACAACAACAACAACAACAACAACAACACCAAAAACAGCACCAGTGGCAGCAACTGTCTCTTATTGGCGATGGTGCCATTGTGAGAATAAAGAATTCAAAAACAGCAACAGGTCTTACCTCAGTCTCGTCCGGATGTGCACTATCGACCATGGTGAGATCGGTGAGGAACGTTCCCAGGTACGGTACCACACCTTGCACCACAAACCCACTGCCAGAGAACTAGGTGTACAACAGGTACACAAACACACATATGAACACACACACACACACACACGCGCACGCATACACACGCGCGCACACATACACACACGTGCACACATACACACACACATGCGTACACACACACACACAATCACAACATGATCATCCGTATTTTACGGGTTATAAGTCGACCTTTTAATGACCTAAAACCCGACCTAAAAAGGGGAAGTCGACTTAAAACCGGGGTATAACTGCCCTTATATCCTTTGTAAGAAGGCCTTAGGCCTGTGGGGATTGCCCTATTAAAAATTTGATAATAATAATAATAAATATTTGAAACTCGGATGTCGAGCCATAAATAAATGTGGAAAGGAAAAGGACATATGGATACGAGTTAAGAGAAACTCTCCATCACTGTAACTGGATACTATATACAGTCAAAGTGCAATAACTAGGCACAAAACTGACAAGAGTACTGAGACATTCGACGTCCTGACACCTCGCTTCAAAACATCTCCGCAGCGCTAACCGACAGTCTTCCAACTTGGAAGGTTCAAGGTTATGGAAATACCAAACATCCGAGTTTCACACCTGATGAGCCGTCACGAACCATACGGCGAAACGTACGTCGTGTCAAACAACTTGTTTCGTAGTCAACTAGTCCATCACAATGTCATGCATGAGGAATACTGTAGAAAATTGGCCTTCCGCTTGTACAATTCGTTTTCGCAAAGCTTCCCCTTTCTTTACTTATCTTTGATATTTATGACCCACCCAAGTTGGATGGTGTGCTGCTTTGCTGCTTCGAATTGTAGTTAGACCGCTTTGTCCAATATCGCACTGGTCTCGTCATCGTCCAGTAACAACCGATATTCTTTGTTTCGTTGGGACTATAGCTTTTACTCGTTTTCGTTGCGCTTGCCTTCCCCTCTTTGGTATTTCCATGACCTTGAACCTTCCAAGTTGGAAGGCTGTCGGTTAGCGCTGCGGAGATGTGTTGAAGCTAGGTGTCAGGACGTCGAATGTCTCAGTACTCTTGTCAGTTTTGTGCCTAGTTATTGCACTTTCTGACTGTATATAGTATCCAGTTACAGTGATGGAGAGTTACTCTTAACTCGTATCCATATGTCCTTTTCCTTTCCACAATAATAATAATAATATCGGTAAATCGAGGCGCCAAGTCTGGAGGTCGACTTATAACCGGGGTCGACCTACAACCGGTAAAACATGGTCTACTTGTCAGTACTGTGAATCCTGTGTACGGCGACCCTTATCAAGGGACCCTCAAAATGTGGTCACTGTGTACAGGTGGTCGCCTTATCCAGGAAAATTTGACTGGAAATAACACACACACACACACACACACACACACACACACACACACAGCGTTTCTGAAACAAAGAACACAGCAGAAACTTACCCAGTCTGAGTATCGGTTGGAAGACTTTCCTTTCGGCGACTTGGTGTGGCGAGCGTTGTCGAAGCCGGAGTACTTGGACGTGCCCTCCTTCATCAGAATGGCACGCGTCTTCTGATCGTTGTCGGAGAAGGATGCCATCTGGCACAGCTCCTTGAAGAGTAGCATTTCATCTCTGCAACGCAGATAAAAAGAAAATAGAGTATTGATTTCAGCGGGAATGGCCACAAGTAGACGGCGCGAGTCAGCGGATTTTCTAACGGGCGCTATGTATACAGCGTGAGTCACTAGTGCAAGTGCAGCGCGGTGCTGCGAGACCGCGACTGCGTCAAAGCATCTCAACTGATGATGTCATCGCACGACCTCTATAGCCACACTGATCCTTATCATATTCCTGCACCAACCACCAAACCCTCCATACAGCAGAACAGTCCTAACCGGCCAGTCCTACCCGACCAACCAAAACTCACTTCTCCACTAGCGCCCAAGTCTTGGTCAGACGATTCACGGCAGTCGACTGAAGCGCCGACACGATTGCCCGCAGCGAAGAAAAGTTCTTCAAGATACGACAACACTGCACAGGAAGAACAAACATAGCAAAGGAGATCCCCCTTCAACAACATGCTACATGTACATGTTGCCTGATGATTGTGAAAGCATGACACTTTAACCCTTTCACTGCCAGCTGACCACTCAAGGTGACAAGGCGCTCCCTGCCAGGCTGTCAGCTGAGCTGTACACCTCCTCCCTGCCAGGCACTTTTTACCTCCAGCTCATGAAACTTTAAGTAGTGACACACAAGCCTTGACTGCCCTTGACGTTCTGTATTACGCTCTGCCTCCGCGGTGTTGAGCACAGTCAGCACATTGGGTGCATCCTCCGGTGATACATGCAGATGAAAGCGACGCACACTGCAGGTAGTGATCAGGTAGTGCACCCAATTCTCTCGAACGTTTCAGCTTTTCAAGCGGTAACACTAACCTACAAGGTCGTCATGCATCAGTTGTGGTAGGTTACTGTTATATATGTACTCTTGTTAGATAGGTACTCATGTGTACTGTACATAGTAGTAATATACCTACTTCTGTAGCACTGGCATTGGACACAACAGTTACTTTGTGTGTACGTTGTGTTGGTGCATGCGTGTGCTGCTGTTTTGTGAAAGGCTAGCAGCCTTGGTCTTGAGTCCGTCTTGTCCAGTTGTGTTTCCGTCATCTACTTGTAATAAATCGTCTTTCCAGTGTAATTCTCTCGTCAACTTTCGGAGTGAGGAGATGGCACAGGGCTGGGAGTAGGAACGAGGAAATCCTACAACACATCATTGGCAGCCAGCATGACTACAGGTGCTGATGATGATAGACACTGGCAGTGGCAAGACACTGGCAGTGGCAAGACACTGGCAGTGGCAAGACACTGGCAGTGGCAAGACACCGGCAGTGGCAAGACACCGGCAGTGGCAAGACACCGGCAGTGGCAAGACACCGGCAGTGGCAAGACACCGGCAGTGGCAAGACACCGGCAGTGGCAAGACACCGGCAGTGGCAAGACACCGGCAGTGGCAAGACACCGGCAGTGGCAAGACACCGGCAGTGGCAAGACACCGGCAGTGGCAAGACACCGGCAGTGGCAAGACACCGGCAGTGGCAAGACACCGGCAGTGGCAAGACACCGGCAGTGGCAAGACACCGGCAGTGGCAAGACACCGGCAGTGGCAAGACACCGGCAGTGGCAAGACACCGGCAGTGGCAAGACACCGGCAGTGGCAAGACACCGGCAGTGGCAAGACACCGGCAGTGGCAAGACACCGGCAGTGGCAAGACACCGGCAGTGGCAAGACACCGGCAGTGGCAAGACACCGGCAGTGGCAAGACACCGGCAGTGGCAAGACACCGGCAGTGGCAAGACACCGGCAGTGGCAAGACACCGGCAGTGGCAAGACACCGGCAGTGGCAAGACACCGGCAGTGGCAAGACACCGGCAGTGGCAAGACACCGGCAGTGGCAAGACACCGGCAGTGGCAAGACACCGGCAGTGGCAAGACACCGGCAGTGGCAAGACACCGGCAGTGGCAAGACACCGGCAGTGGCAAGACACCGGCAGTGGCAAGACACCGGCAGTGGCAAGACACCGGCAGTGGCAAGACACCGGCAGTGGCAAGACACCGGCAGTGGCAAGACACCGGCAGTGGCAAGACACCGGCAGTGGCAAGACACCGGCAGTGGCAAGACACCGGCAGTGGCAAGACACCGGCAGTGGCAAGACACCGGCAGTGGCAAGACACCGGCAGTGGCAAGACACTGGCAGTGGCAAGACACTGGCAGTGGCAAGACACTGGCAGTGGCAAGACACTGGCAGTGGCAAGACACTGGCAGTGGCAAGACACTGGCAGTGGCAAGACACCGGCAGTGGCAAGACACCGGCAGTGGCAAGACACCGGCAGTGGCAAGACACTGGCAGTGGCAAGACACTGGCAGTGGCAAGACACCGGCAGTGGCAAGACACTGGCAGTGGCAAGACACTGGCAGTGGCAAGACACTGGCAGTGGCAAGACACTGGCAGTGGCAAGACACCGGCAGTGGCAAGACACTGGCAGTGGCAAGACACTGGCAGTGGCAAGACACTGGCAGTGGCAAGACACTGGCAGTGGCAAGACACTGGCAGTGGCAAGACACTGGCAGTGGCAAGACACTGGCAGTGGCAAGACACCGGCAGTGGCAAGACACCGGCAGTGGCAAGACACCGGCAGTGGCAAGACACCGGCAGTGGCAAGACACCGGAAGTGGCAAGACACCGGCAGTGGCAAGACACCGGCAGTGGCAAGACACTGGCAGTGGCAAGACACTGGCAGTGGCAAGACACTGGCAGTGGCAAGACACTGGCAGTGGCAAGACACTGGCAGTGGCAAGACACTGGCAGTGGCAAGACACTGGCAGTGGCAAGACACTGGCAGTGGCAAGACACTGGCAGTGGCAAGACACTGGCAGTGGCAAGACACCGGCAGTGGCAAGACACTGGCAGTGGCAAGACACTGGCAGTGGCAAGACACTGGCAGTGGCAAGACACCGGCAGTGGCAAGACACTGGCAGTGGCAAGACACTGGCAGCGGCAAGACACTGGCAGTGGCAAGACACCGGCAGCGGCAAGACACCGGCAGTGCGGCAGTGGCAAGACACTGGCAGTGGCAAGACACCGGCAGTGGCAAGACACCGGCAGTGGCAAGACACCGGCAGTGGCAAGACACCGGCAGTGGCAAGACACCGGCAGTGGCAAGACACCGGCAGTGGCAAGACACCGGCAGTGGCAAGACACCGGCAGTGGCAAGACACCGGCAGTGGCAAGACACCGGCAGTGGCAAGACACCGGCAGTGGCAAGACACCGGCAGTGGCAAGACACCGGCAGTGGCAAGACACCGGCAGTGGCAAGACACCGGCAGTGGCAAGACACCGGCAGTGGCAAGACACTGGCAGTGGCAAGACACTGGCAGTGGCAAGACACCGGCAGTGGCAAGACACCGGCAGTGGCAAGACACCGGCAGTGGCAAGACACCGGCAGTGGCAAGACACCGGCAGTGGCAAGACACCGGCAGTGGCAAGACACCGGCAGTGGCAAGACACCGGCAGTGGCAAGACACCGGCAGTGGCAAGACACCGGCAGTGGCAAGACACCGGCAGTGGCAAGACACTGGCAGTGGCAAGACACTGGCAGTGGCAAGACACTGGCAGTGGCAAGACACTGGCAGTGGCAAGACACTGGCAGTGGCAAGACACTGGCAGTGGCAAGACACTGGCAGTGGCAAGACACTGGCAGTGGCAAGACACCGGCAGTGGCAAGACACCGGCAGTGGCAAGACACCGGCAGTGGCAAGACACTGGCAGTGGCAAGACACTGGCAGTGGCAAGACACCGGCAGTGGCAAGACACTGGCAGTGGCAAGACACTGGCAGTGGCAAGACACTGGCAGTGGCAAGACACTGGCAGTGGCAAGACACCGGCAGTGGCAAGACACTGGCAGTGGCAAGACACTGGCAGTGGCAAGACACTGGCAGTGGCAAGACACTGGCAGTGGCAAGACACTGGCAGTGGCAAGACACTGGCAGTGGCAAGACACCGGCAGTGGCAAGACACCGGCAGTGGCAAGACACCGGCAGTGGCAAGACACCGGCAGTGGCAAGACACCGGCAGTGGCAAGACACCGGAAGTGGCAAGACACCGGCAGTGGCAAGACACTGGCAGTGGCAAGACACTGGCAGTGGCAAGACACTGGCAGTGGCAAGACACTGGCAGTGGCAAGACACTGGCAGTGGCAAGACACTGGCAGTGGCAAGACACTGGCAGTGGCAAGACACTGGCAGTGGCAAGACACTGGCAGTGGCAAGACACTGGCAGTGGCAAGACACTGGCAGTGGCAAGACACTGGCAGTGGCAAGACACTGGCAGTGGCAAGACACTGGCAGTGGCAAGACACTGGCAGTGGCAAGACACCGGCAGTGGCAAGACACCGGCAGTGGCAAGACACCGGCAGTGGCAAGACACTGGCAGTGGCAAGACACTGGCAGTGGCAAGACACTGGCAGTGGCAAGACACCGGCAGTGGCAAGACACTGGCAGTGGCAAGACACTGGCAGCGGCAAGACACTGGCAGTGGCAAGACACCGGCAGCGGCAAGACACCGGCAGTGGCAAGACACTGGCAGTGGCAAGACACTGGCAGTGGCAAGACACTGGCAGTGGCAAGACACCGGCAGTGGCAAGACACTGGCAGTGGCAAGACACTGGCAGCGGCAAGACACTGGCAGTGGCAAGACACCGGCAGCGGCAAGACACCGGCAGTGCGGCAGTGGCAAGACACTGGCAGTGGCAAGACACCGGCAGCGGCAAGACACTGGCAGTGGCAAGACACTGCATGGCAGTGGCAAGACACTGGCAGCGGCAAGACACCGGCAGCGGCAAGACACTGGCAGTGGCAAGACACTGGCAGTGGCAAGACACTGGCAGTGGCAAGACACTGGCAGTGGCAAGACACTGGCAGTGGCAAGACACTGGCAGTGGCAAGACACTGGCAGTGGCAAGACACCGGCAGTGGCAAGACACTGGCAGTGGCAAGACACTGGCAGTGGCAAGACACTGGCAGTGGCAAGACACTGGCAGCGGCAAGACACTGGCAGTGGCAAGACACTGGCAGTGGCAAGACACTGGCAGTGGCAAGACACTGGCAGTGGCAAAGAATCCAAAAGTCCTCCACTGAGTCCGCTAAGTTCTGAGCTCTGTCTATTAGATTGAGCATGCCCAGCTCTGCAGCTCGAGGATCAACGGATGTGTGCATATG